AACTTCTTAGAAAAGTAAACTTAGTTACAGACGACACTTCCTTAAAAACACCTGATCTATTGCAACTAGTGCGCGCGAAAGCTAAAAGTAACATCTCTAAAGCTCATGCAGCTAACGCGAAAACCTATAATTTGCGCAGCCGCACGATAAAACTAAATGAAGGCGATATTGTTTACGCACGTGGCTTTGCACAAAGTAATGCAAGCAATAAGTTTAGTAGCAAACTCGCCCCAGCCTTCAATAAAGCTAGGGTTGTCAAGAAATTAAGTCCGACGTATTATGAACTGTCAAATGAAAACAACAAATCTATTGGAGTGTATCACTTAAAAGACATAAAACTATAGACCGACTGATAAACGAAGTTACTGACCCTTTTTCAGTTAACATCTTCTCCAGTTGAGACTCTCGTAGTATTAACTGTGGTGTGGGGGCCAGTAAGTTTGAAAAAATTAAACTTTTAATATTAAGTCGTATATACCCAGCAACTAAAGTAGAGTATTATCTCTCGAGGTGGTCAGCCTAATGTCATCTCGCTCCCACGCCTCGGCGGTTGTGTTAGTTGCATCTCCTCGCGTCAGTTTCGCACCTTATACATAAAGCGACAAGAAACGGCATCAAAGAATAAGACAAGCAATCACGCCATAGTTCCGTTAAATATCACAAGCGACAAATGTAGCTGGCGTTGCGTATCAGTTGCATAGCCAAAGTGAGTTATCCACGCGGTCACCTCGTTCACTTCGTCTTGAGCTGTGAAAACGAACAGACGCAACGGAGTCATAACGTCTGCTCATTTTTCTAATTAACATTGCTAAGATTACACGTGTTAAACTTTTTCGGTTATAATCAAAATTGAAGACAAACGTATTTGGTTAAGAAGTATTCGCGAACGCGACATAGTGTTGGAACAGGTGATACTTTTCCATGAAAGACAGTCAGAACTGTTTAACGTAGATCCACCTTTTTACAGGGAGCGTTAGCAGCGGCCACCAAGCCCAGATATCGGCCGGTCTGCGTACGGCGCCCCCGCGCTCTAAACATTAAACATAATTCGGCGACCGGCCGAAAGAGCCCCATACTCAATCACCGCCCCTATTTCGGCGATTATTCGGCGAATTAGTTAAGCTCCAGTTCACACCGGCTGAGGCGCAGTTGGCTCAACTTAAAGTTTACACCGGCCCTTTTCATCGCTATATATTTGTCTAATGCTTAAAACGACCGAGTTGTGTCTTGCATACCTTATCTTACTCGGCAGAGTATAGCCGCGCTTGATAGCGTGAAGCGTAGGTGTGACACAAAGGAGTGAAAGAGAAGTCTTTATCTGGAAACGAAATAGAGTTAACCGCAATCGAATAGTCTAGCTCGTTCGATATCTCGCGCGCATGCGTTCTAGTTGGAATTATCCGTCGTCAAGCCGCATAGGATTATCAGCTGTTTGATGTTGTCTGGAGGCCAGCCAATCTGAGTTTGGATTCTTAGATTTTAATTATTTTCTTTGCTTTCTTTATTTTTTTTTAATGTAACCTTAATATACAAATTTCCTGTGAGTACATAGTAGCGTTACCCGTAGCAGCGATTTCCGTTTAAATAAATTTCTTTATGCACAGCTACCAAAAGCTTTAAAGCACCACACCAACTGCACTTTCGATGGGCCCAACGAACCTGCACCGATGGATATAACAGTGAGTGACAAGTCTGAATATAACTTACAGTGAGTACGGCCTATTATTGGCGAACGAATTATTTAATCGGCTTTATCGCACTCGGAATGCTCGTGTATTAACATGAATATATATAATAGTTTAACACCGCCCTGTTACACCTTAGTTTAGGAAAAAAGAAAAAGAAATGCTAAAGAGTAAAGCATTCTTATATGGATCAGATGATTGTTATCTGAAGTTTACTTTAATTAAAATGTACCGATAAATTGTATAGAAAGGTCCGTCGCCGGTACGATCCTACGCTGAAGTCATATTGTTTATGTTGAATTAAATAAAACATTAGTAAAGGGGTAACCACCCAAGTTAATCACGAGTTACCAAGGTTGGGAGGGTAAAGAATAGGGAGCGATCAACACCTACCGCACCCTAGCCACTGAAATTCTCACATAACAGTCCGCCGTTCTCATTTATATTAATTCTGTACGTGAGTACAGCCCGAATACATCTTATTGGACCTTCATCTTATTAGTATACAGTCAGTGCACTTATCCTCTCTGAGCACAAAAGGAGTGATATGTGAAGGGAAGAGGAAAAGACCCACGCCAAATCCGACGAGCATAGTTTAGAGCAACGCTAGAAGTGCACACCTTCCGAATCTCTTCACCTCTGCGGAAGAACATCAACCGCACGAAGCTGGTGGCCTCTTGAATAGAGCACAAGATCGCATATATACCCTTCTGCATGCTACAAATTTCGCATCGACGTGGGAAACCCTTTCATTATTTCATATTACACGTCTTTTCAAAAGGGAAGATATTTGACATAAATTGAGTTTTTGGGCATTTCTGCTTGTGCGGACACGTACACACAAACATTTAAACGGTACCTAGACATAAAGAGAGCATTGAGAGCACTAAGAGTAAGTGCGAGCGAGATAAAAATAAACAGCGATGCCGTTCTATCGCACAAGTTATATGGAAAGAATAAGACATCATATGTATATCTCACTCTTTTTTTTGACCAGATGCACCGATTTTTTTCTGCCCACATTTCTAGTACGGCATGTCCCATCTATATGTTATTTGGTTAGTGCTCTAGCTCTTATCATCTACCAAAATTGCTCAAAAACAGGATTTCGATATCGATTTTTATCGATTACTTGGAAACGAGGAAAGTTAATATCTGAAACAAACTTGATCTGCGCGGGTACTAGGAGGGCCAACAACTCGTTCAAGTCTCTAATTTTAAGTCTCTAACTCTTATAGGGTCTAAGATTCTTGCGTTCATACATACGGACAGACGGACGGCCGGACAGACGGACAGACAGACGGAAATGGCTAGATCGACTCGGCTATTGATGCTGATCAAGAATATATATACTTTATGGGGTCGGAGATGCTTCCTTCTGCCTGTTACATACATTTTGCACAAATACATTATACCCTTTTTACTCATTTTAATGGGTTCAGGGTATAAAAACAAGGACAACATTTCGTATGTCTCCCACTAATTAAAATTCCATTATAATTTTTACTTACTCTTTTATTTCGCTCAGAGCACTGAATTTTTTTTTCATCTCAGGGCCCTGCGGACCACTATCATGCACCATATTTTCCAATTTGGAATGAACGCGAGACTTATCTGCGCTCAAATACACTCTGGCTCTACAGCCTCAGACACGGGACAAGTATGTCGTGTCACCTAGCTTTAATACCTGTACAATCTGTTGTTCATTGAGCGTGAACAACAATAATGCGCAGCCTGCACGACTTCCCTCTTTTAATTCAAATTCAATATTTGAGTAATTCATTTTGTTTGTTTCGTTGTCGCACAGTTATCCGCACAGTTTGAGCAAGCGAAACCAAATGATATCAAGCAAAAACGAAGATCAGTGCATAACCACTAACCATTCAATGCATAGATACGTCAAACAGCCGAGTAATCGAAACACGATAGATCGCAAAGCGTGAGCCCCAAGGGTTCGTGCGACTATTTTGTTATGCCCAGAGAGAGTAAGACTGCTGAGAGTGGCAGCCAAACGGCAGCCTCGAAAACCGAACGTTCAGTATGAAGCCGCATCTCGCTCAGCGCACAACATCGCTGCGGCTGATGCCTTTTCATAATATATGTATGTTAGATTTTAATTCCAAAAACATATGTGTGTATGCATGTGCAGAGTATGCTTCGATCTCACTCATTGCTTTGCGCACTTGTGTGCATCTCTTTCTCCCTGCATAGCATCTCAAAAAACCCCGAGATCTACAAACATACATATGTTTGTGTTGTGTGGATATGCGCACAAGTAGATTAGGGCATTTGTCGCGAGCCAGACATATTTTCTTCAATTGTGTGCCTTTTGTGACTGTGGTAGCAAAAGGCTTACACATTCAAATGCTCTGTCATGTATTTCTTCGTCCAGTCGGGATAATGAGAAGAATCTGTTTAATGTGGGGACCTACTTGTCTTAAAATAAAAAAACATCAAACTCGTATTTCTGCAAGGGTATCTCATCGTCGGCTTGTCGAAGAATTCTAAGAAAACACCAAAAATTGAAAATGTTCAATTTTTGCGACTTGCTACTTGTGCACAGTCACACTCTTTCGGGGAAGCAGTTATGTGAAATTATTAAAGGGCTTAGCCTGTTCATGTGCAAAATTGCTATTTTCCATGCTTGTTACTGGTAAGGGTACCTGAACGTTGGCATGTGTGCATGAAAACTTTTTGGAACGTCCAAGCACGCATACTTACACACTTTTCTATATGGATGGAAGCATTTATGGGTTTGTGTGCTTGTTGGTTGCCTGCCTGTCCGATGCAAATTTGACAAGACTTGAAGTTTTTGGGCTCTCTGAATTTTGAGTTCTGCACACACACACCCACAAATGTGTGCGAATGAGCAGATCAAGGGCTTGTCGTGGGACAGAGATATTTTCTTCAATGGGTGCGTAAATTTGAGCGATTGGCACGGTCTTTATTTTTTTTTTTTTGGCATGCTTGCGGTGGGCTTGCGCCGCAAAAGTCACAAATATGTGAACAGTCAATGAAAACAGGTGAACCGCACTTGTCGCTAGTTTGCACTTTGATATATATGTATGTATATGTATGTATTCCACGCGCAGATATGACGTTTGAAGACGACATAACTCCACCGCTCTACAAACGGCATATCTCCGCGCGGAAATATGTCCTTTGAAAACGACATAACCCCGCCGTTGATCATGGCGAGATTATGTCGTTTTAATGCGTCATAGTTCCGACGCTCTAAAAACGACATATGTATCTTATATCTTATGTTGTTACCCAGTTAAAAAGATATCGCCCATAAGCAACATGTACTTATAATTATTTTTTTAACATATATTTAACTATTTTCCAGTAAAATTACTTCTAGCCCACAACCGTAAATATATAAACGCTGATTTTTATCTAGCAGCATTCCTTTTATATCAGATAGACATGTATAACCGATGCGAGTGTATTTTAAAGTTGTTAAATTTACCATATAAATTTGTTTATCCATGCTACACGTATAAGCACGTAGTTGAGGGGCTTCATCAACGCGTTTCAATGAATGTATTCCCAACGCATTTATCTGAGCATTATGCATGGCCGAGAACTGCGTGCTTTGTAGAACACTCATGTCGGATTTTTGGATTGTGGTGTACTTAAAGATTTCATCGTCTCCACCGGACAAAATATGTAAACGGGAGCCATCGTCTAACGTGTCAAAAGCATTGATACCAGCCGCGTGTAACTGAAGCTCAAACCGTTTTAGGCAAAGAGTCTTATCGAAGCCATGCAGCATGCCATTTGTGGTTGTGATTAGCAATAAATTAAGATTATTCGAAGACTGCATCTGAAGCGGACATCTTTTAATGTCAATTTGACAGTGTAAGTAAATTTGTGTAGGTCTTTCTAGCTGCCAGTGGAGCAACCGAATTTTTCCATCAGCGCTGGCAATATAAAGTGCGAATTCTCCAGGTGTAGCATGCTGTAAAACGTTAATTGCCATTAATCGAGCATCATGTAAGCCGTTATCGCCGCTTGTTGATCGTACTATGTGCGAGCACAGTTCACTTACGATTGGGCCATTTGTGTCAAACTTATTAATGCATAGCTGCGCCCGACCTCCGACTGAGAAGATAAGCTAATAGTTTACATCGTTTTCAGATTTTAAAGGGTATACTACTAAATGTCGTATGCTTGAGATGTGCGTATGCAACTCGGCACACTGATAAAACGACTGACCGATAAGCTGATTAATTTTAATAATATTATCATCACCGGCTGACACAATATATAGCTGCACATTATTTTGTTCAATTAATTGTATAATATTGCAACTTCGTGTGTGCCAATCCTTTCGCAAAGTCTGCCATAAACATGAAGACCATTTATTGTGAAGTAACTCGCGATAGTGAAATACATGCTTTTGCCTTATATATATTTTATCAATTACTTCATTGTTTAACTGATAGTCCCAACACCAATGGCCTCCTCCGCATTGCAATTGTAAAATCACGTCATTTTTATGAGACCAAGCCACAATATGATTGTCATTAAATCCGATCAACAAATCTAATGTCGGTGATGCTTCTATCCACGCTAAATGCCCTTAATATGTATCCCATCAATCTTAAACAATTGAAGGAGAGTAGATCCCAATTTGCCATGCAAGCGTTTAAGTATGGTCTTTAGTTGTAAATGTTCACTGTCTTCTCGTGTGTAGAGAATAAGATGGCCATTGCGAGTACAGCTGTTATCCAGGGCTCACGACATTTACTGATAATTATGCTTCCTTCAACATCCATGTTATTTCCTTTCAGTAAAAGACATTTGCCATATTCATCAGATATCAAATAAAGTTCTTTGCTGAGGAACTGAAATGATTGGATAAGACCTTTGAGCTTCACTCCATCGTAAAGTAGCACAAAACGTTCTGTATCGCCGTTATAGCTTAGAAGTGTAACACGTTGGTAGCCACAGGTAGCAATTATTCCATCATTAACAGCTAGAACTGTGCACTTATAGGTGGGGAAATCTTCAACCGATTTCCAAATTTTCATTTCAGATGAATTAATAAGTCTCATGCAGAACGTGTTATTTTTATTGCTTAAAGCAATGATTGTACTAAGTATTATTTAAATATTTAATTTTTTCATAAATTCGGTGGATGAATTTAACGGTATCAGTTGGGTTGAATGGATCTGTTTTGATCTTAAAGTCATTTTTAAGTTGTAAGCAAGTCCGTTTCCTGTTGAGCCTGTGCTATAGAGTGTTTAGGTAGAATGATCGAAACTCAGGCGCCATATCGGCGCGCCAAATTGTTGACGGCGTTTGAATAACAATTCTCCTGATTCACTCCAAACGCATATATGCGAATCCTCACCTCCACTTATAACAAAAATTTGGCCTCCTGCAAAATAAAGTTCAGATGAGCTTAGAAATTATTTATTTTTTAAGCCCTTATAGAGGTACTTTGATTTTTTCATAAAATGCGTAACGCATCACCGATCCCATGAAGAGTATATATTCTATATCAGCAGCAGTTGTCGAGTTGAAATTGCCATGTCCGTCTATAAACTTTGCAGAGGAGCAGTATATTTGTTGGAACCGACCGGATCGGACCACTATATCATATAGCTGCCATATGAACGATAGGCCAAAAAGTAGGTTCTTGTATGGTACTTTTTTGTTTATCAAGATATTTTTTAGTTCCACTATGCTCCCCGTATATATTCAAAATCTTATTAATCTTATCGAAAATTAAATTCTTTGTTTATATATACAATATATATTGACAGAAACCGGAATTTATTAATTAAACTATACTGTTAATATATGAGCCAAATATAATTAATATCGTAGTCCTATATTGCAGAGCTCAATAAGAAGAATCGGTCGAACCATGTGTTTTTAAAAATGTTCTGTTTTCTAACATATTTTCATCAACTCAACATTTACGAGGCTTACTATTCTGACATATCTGGAAGCTAGTAAGACAAATGTCTACAGGGGTAGTAAATTTTCGGCGAACCAAAATATCCTTACTCTCTCGTTAATTGTACTCTTACCGTACTCTGCAATGATAACACAAATGACTCGAGCAGTTTGTCCAAGGCAGCTGAACAAGGGCTTGACCGACGCTGTATCCAATTTCATATCAGGAGCAGATCCGCTTTCAAGTCTGTAGCTCTTATAGGTTCTGAGATCCTTGCGTTCATACTAGAGGGCTGCATGGCTTCACTCACAACATACGTTAAATTGAGTGGACTCGAATTGAATTGAATTAAGTGAGTGCAAGGCACACAATGAAACGCATGAGTAGCAATGTGACTGCGCTTGTGTCTCATACCAGACGGCATTCAGCGAGATGAGTGAAAATAAGTAAAGCGTAAAGCGGAATGAAAAATTTGGCACAGCCGAAGAAACCCGAATTACTCGAGTTTTTGTGTGCCTTTATTTCGTTCAATACAACAGAAGCAAGCCGTCAAAAGAAATGGATGGAGAAAAAAACGGTGGCGAGCCTGTATGTATTTTGCATGCGCATTTAGTGGTTTTTGTTTTGTTTTTATTGTTGTTGTTTTTAAAAATATAATAAATTCATTTTGCTTAATAGCTTGTTTTGTACGAGCTTAGATTAATTGAGTATTTGTGACCTGACAAGCTGCAGAATATTCTGCATTCCAGCGAGCAGCGCGGATAATAGCCACCAATCCAGACAACATAAATAAAATAATGTTTTTACATTCAAATACTAATTAAATACATGTATAGTAATAAACCAAATAAATACGAACAGAATTTAGATTGACTTTCGTTTTTTCTTTTACTTTTTCGTTTTTTTTTTTTATGCGCGACAAGACAACAATTAAAAATCCATTTTGTCATTCGAAACGCAATCTCTTATTTCAACGCACTCCCACTCATTCAATTTGGTTTCTTTCGTTTCAATGTTGTGCGTCCGAGTTCTACGTGACCGCACTCACTCACTCAAACATATTCGGCTTTGCATTTAATTTCACTCAACTCATTTTTAGCATTGTTCATTTGAAGGTGGTTTTTTTTTGCCATTCATGCAGCTCTCTAGTTCATACATACGGACAGACGGACAGACAGACAGACGGACATGGCTAGATCGACTCGGCTATTGATGCTGATCAAGAATATATATACTTTATGGGGTCGGAGATGCTTCCTTCTGCCTGTTACATACATTTGCACAAATACATTATACCCTTTTTACTCATTTTTAATGGGTTCAGGGTATAAAAACAAGGACAACATTTCGTATGTCTCCCACTAATTAAAATTCCAATATAATTTTTACTTACTCAGCGAGCACATCATCTCAGTGCCCTGCGGACCACTATCATGCACCATATTTTCCAATTTGGAATGAACGCGAGACTTATCTGCGCTCAAATACACTCTGGCTCTACAGCCTCAGACACGGGACAAGTATGTCGTGTCACCTAGCTTTAATACCTGTACAATCTGTTGTTCATTGAGCGTGAACAACAATAATGCGCAGCCTGCACGACTTCCCTCTTTTAATTCAAATTCAATATTTGAGTAATTCATTTTGTTTGTTTCGTTGTCGCACAGTTATCCGCACAGTTTGAGCAAGCGAAACCAAATGATATCAAGCAAAAACGAAGATCAGTGCATAACCACTAACCATTCAATGCATAGATACGTCAAACAGCCGAGTAATCGAAACACGATAGATCGCAAAGCGTGAGCCCCAAGGGTTCGTGCGACCATTTTGTTATGCCCAGAGAGAGTAAGACTGCTGAGAGTGGCAGCCAAACGCCAGCCTCGAAAACCGAACGTTCAGTATGAAGCCGCATCTCGCTCAGCGCACAACATCGCTGCGGCTGATGCCTTTTCATAATATATGTATGTTAGATTTTAATTCCAAAAACATATGTGTGTATGCATGTGCAGAGTATGCTTCGATCTCACTCATTGCTTTGCGCACTTGTGTGCATCTCTTTCTCCCTGCATAGCATCTCAAAAAACCCCGAGATCTACAAACATACATATGTTTGTGTTGTGTGGATATGCGCACAAGTAGATTAGAGCATTTGTCGCGAGCCAGACATATTTTCTTCAATTGTGTGCCTTTTGTGCCTGTGGTAGCAAAAGGCTTACACATTCAAATGCTCTATCATGTATTTCTTCGTCCAGTCGGGATAATGAGAAGAATCTGTTTAATGTGGGGACCTACTTTTCTTAAAATAAACGAGAGAGAAGTGCTATCTTCGGCACACCGAAGATTTAATACCCTTGCAGACCCAACCTTTTCAAAATGCTCATAGTGCTTTGCCCGTATCTAAGAAGCACAGGGAAAATAGTTAATGCCGAGTATGGTTAAGATATCTTGAAAAACAAAACAGGTTTCCATACAACAACTTAATTTTCGAACGATCGTTCCTATGGCAGCTATATGATATAGTAGCGCGATGTGAATAAGATTTTGCATAAGTGGAGGGAGCATAGTAAAACTAATAAATGCCGAGTTTGGTCAAGATATCTTGAAAAACAAAAAAAATTTTCATACAAAAACTTAATTTTCGACCGATCGTTCCTATGGCAGCTATATGATATAGTTGCCCGATCTTAATAGAATTTTGCGTATATATGGGAAGCGTAGTAAAACTAATAAATACCGAGTTTGGTCAAGATATCTTGAAAAACATAAAAATTTTTCATACAAAAACTTAATTTTCGACCGATCGTTCCTATGGCAGCTATATGATATAGTTGCCCCATCTTAATAGAATTTTGCATATATATGGGAAGCTTAGTAAAACTAATAAGTACCGAGTTTGGTCAAGATATCTTGAAAAACATAAAATTTTTTCTATACAAAAACTTAATTTTCGACCGATCGTTCCTATGGCAGCTATATGATATAGTTGTCCGATCTTAATAGGATTTCGCATCTATATGGGGAGCGTAGTAAAACTAATAAATATCAAGTTTAGTCAAGATAACTTTATAAACAAAAATGTTTTTCATACAAGAACCTACTTTTCGACCGATCGTTCCTATGGCAGCTACGTGATATAGTGGTCCGATCCAGCTGGTTTTGACATATGAACTGCGTGCAACAGAAAGAGGGAATTCTGCAAAGTTTCATAAAGATACCTTTAAAACTGAGAGACTAGTTCGCATAGAAACAGACTGACGGACATGGCTATATCAACTCGGCTGTTGATACTGATCAAGAATATATATATTTTATGGGGTCGGAGATGTCTCCTTCTATGCGTTACACATTTCACGACAAAATTATAATACCCTCTGCAAGGGTATCAAAAACATCATACTCGTATTTCTGCAAGGGTAACTCATCGTCGGCTTGTCGAAGAATTATAAGAAAAGACCAAAAATTGAAAATGTTCAATTTTTGCGACTTGCTACTTGTGCACAGTCACACTCTTTCGGGGAAGCAGTTATGTGAAATTATTAAAGGGCTCAGCCTGTTCATGTGCAAAATTGCTATTTTCCATGCTTGTTGCTGGTAAGGGTACCTGAACGTTGGCATGTGTGCATGAAAACTTTTTGGAACGTCCAAGCACGCATACTTACACACTTTTCTATATGGATGGAAGCATTTATGGGTTTGTGTGCTTGTTGGTTGCCTGCCAGTCCGATGCAAATTTGACAAGACTTGAAGTTTTTGGGATCTCTGAATTTTGAGTTCTGCACACACACACCCAAATGTGTGCGAATGAGCAGATCAAGGGTTTGTCGTGGGACAGAGATATTTTCTTCAATGGGTGCGTAAATTTGAGCGATTGGCACGGTCTTTATTTTTTTATTTTTTTTTTTGGCCTGCTTGCGGTGGGCTTGCGCCGCAAAAAGTCACAAATATGTGAACAGTCAATGAAAACAGGTGAACCGCACTTGTCGCTAGTTTGCATATATATGTATGTATTCCGCGCGCAGATATGACGTTTGAAGACGACATAACTCCACCGCTCTACAAACGGCATATCTCCGCGCGGAAATATGTCCTTTGAAAACGACATAACCCCGCCGTTGATCATGGCGAGATTATGTCGTTTTAATGCGTCATAGTTCCGACGCTCTAAAAACGACATATGTATCTTATATCTAATGTTGTTACCCAGTTAAAAAGATATCGCCCATAAGCAACATGTACTAATAATTATTTTTTTAACATATATTTAATTATTTTCCAGTAAAATTACTTCTAGCCCACAACCGTAAATATATAAACGCTGATTTTTATCTAGCAGCATTCCTTTTATATCAGATAGACATGTATAACCGATGCGAGTGTATTTTAAAGTTGTTAAATTTACCATATAAATTTGTTTATCCATGCTACACGTATAAGCACGTAGTTGAGGGGCTTCATCAACGCGTTTCAATGAATGTATTCCCAACGCATTTATCTGAGCATTATGCATGGCCGAGAACTGCGTGCTTTGTAGAACACTCATGTCGGATTTTTGGATTGTGGTGTACTTAAAGATTTCATCGTCTCCACCGGACAAAATATGTAAACGGGAGCCATCGTCTAACGTGTCAAAAGCATTGATACCAGCCGCGTGTAACTGAAGCTCAAACCGTTTTAGGCAAAGAGTCTTATCGAAGCCATACAGCATGCCATTTGTGGTTGTGATTAGCAATAAATTAAGATTATTCGAATACTGCATCTGAAGCGGACATCTTTTAATGTCAATTTGACAGTGTAAGTAAATTTGTGTAGGTCTTTCTAGCTGCCAGTGAAGCAACCGAATTTTTCCATCAGCGCTGGCAATATAAAGTGCGAATTCTCCAGGTGTAGCATGCTGTAAAACGTTAATTGCCATTAATCGAGCATCATGTAAGCCGTTATCGCCGCTTGTTGATCGTACTATGTGCGAGCACAGTTCACTTACGATTGGGCCATTTGTGTCAAACTTATTAATGCATAGCTGCGCCCGACCTCCAACTGAGAAGATAAGCCAATAGTTTACATCGTTTTCAGATTTTAAAGGGTATACTACTAAATGTCGTATGCTTGAGATGTGCGTATGCAACTCGGCACACTGATAAAACGACTGACCGATAAGCTGATTAATTTTAATAATATTATCATCACCGGCTGACACAATATATGGCTGCACATTGTTTTGTTCAATTAATTGTATAATATTACAACTTCGTGTGTGCCAATCATTTCGCAAAGTCTGCCATAAACATGAAGACCATTTATTGTGAAGTAACTCGCGATAGTGAAATACATGCTTTTGCCTTATATATATTATATCAAGTACTTCATTGTTTAACTGATAGTCCCAACACCGATGGCCTCCTCCGCATTGCAATTGTAAAACCACGTCATTTTTATGAGACCAAGCCACAATATGATTGTCATTAAATCCGATCAACAAATCTAATGTCGGTGATGCTTCTATCCACGCTAAAGGCACACACTGACGTTGCAAAATAGTTAAACGATAATCGGTTAAATTTAATCGTAAAATTCTTAGAGCGGATTCGTGCCCAGCACTTAATATGTATGCATATTTCCCATCAATCTTAAACAATTGAAGGAGAGTAGATCCCAATTTGCCATGCAAGCGTTTAAGTATGGTCTTTAGTTGTAAATGTACACTGCCTTCTCGTGTGTAGAGAATAAGATGGCCATTGCGAGTGCTTAACAGCAAGCAATCTCGCACCACAAGCAGTGCAGCTGTTATCCAGGGCTCACGACATTTACTGATAATTATGCTTCCTTCAACATCCATGTTATTTCCTTTCAGTAAAAGACAGTTGCCATATTCATCAGATATCAAATAAAGTTCTTTACTGAGGAAGTGAAATGATTGGATAAGACCTTTGAGCTTCACTCCATCGTAAAGTAGCACAAAACGTTCTGTATCGCCGTTATAGCTTAGAAGTGTAACACGTTGGTAGCCACAGGTAGCAATTATTCCATCATTAACAGCTAGAACTGTGCACTTATAGGTGGGAAAATCTTCAACCGATTTCCAAATTTTCATTTCAGATGACTTAGTAAGTTTCATGTAGAACATGTTATTTTTATTGCTTAAAGCAATGATTATACTATTATTTAAATATTTAATTTTTTTCATAAATTCGGTGGATGAATCTAACGGTATCAGTTGGGTTGAATGGATCTGTTTTGATCTTAAAGTCATTTTTAAGTTGTAAGCAAGTACGTTTCCTGTTGAGCCTGTGCTATAGAGTGTTGAGGTAGAATGGTCGAAACTCAGGCGCCATATCGGCGCGCCAAATTGTTGACGGCGTTTGAATAACAATTCTCCTGATTCACTCCAAACGCATATATGCGAATCCTCACCTCCACTTATAACAAAAATTTGGCCTCCTGCAAAATAAAGTTCAGATGAGCTTAGAAATTATTTATTTTTTAAGCCCTTATAGAGGTACTTTGATTTTTTCATAAAATGCGTAACGCATCTCCGATCCCATGAAGAGTATATATTCTATATCAGCAACAGTTGTCGAGTTGAAATTGTCATGTCCGTCTGTCTGTTTCAATGCAAACTAAGTAGTCTCTCATATTTAAAGCTATCGTCTCTAAACTTTGCAGAGCGTCTTTCTGTTGCAGGCAGTATATATTTTGGAACCGACCGGATCGGACCACTATATCATATAGCTGCCATATGAACGATGGGCCAAAAAGTAGTTTCTTGTATGGTACTTTTTTGTTTATCAAGATATTTTTTAGTTCCACTATGCTCCCCGTATATATACAAAATCTTATCAATCGTATCGAAAATTAAATTCTTTGTTTATCAATATATATAGACAGAATCCGGAATTTATTAATTAAACTATACTGTTAATATATGAGCCAAATATAATTAATATCGTAGTCCTATATTGCATAGCTCAATAAGAAGAATCGGTCGAACCATGTTTTTTTTAAAAATGTTCTGTTTTCTAACATATTTTCATCAACTCAACATTTACGAGGCTTACTATTCTGACATATCTGGAAGCTAGTAAGACAAATGCCTATAGGGGTAGTAAATTTTCGGCGTACCAAAATATCCTTACTTTTTCGTTAATTGTATGAAGACTCTTACCGTACTCTGCAATGATAGCACAAATGACTCGGGCAGTATGTCCAAAGCAGCTGAACAAGGGCTTGACCGACGCTGTATCCAATTTCATATCAGGCGCAGATCCGCTTTCTAGCTGCCAAAACTTTAAAGAACGGTCGTCGGAAGAGGTTACTAGCAAACGTGCTGCTAAATTAATGTCAATAGAAAATATAACACCATTATGCGCCTTTAGCCGCAAGCAAAGTGGAAATATTTTGGTACGTGAATTTAAGTTAATATGAACAGGAGTATGTGGCTGCCAAATCATTATTTCTCCAAATCCATTGCCGCTTATTATATTAAGCTTATTATAGCATTTACCGTGTAAAATTGTGTAATAAAGCAAAGAATAGTCAGTGCAACGTGCCAATTCTAATATACTGCATTCTCCAAATTTCATATTGTTTGGGTTATTGTATTGTAAACGCAGAAGGACACCATGTGCCATGTGCAATGCAAATTGACAGCTTCTCTCGTCCTTGAAAAATACGGCTGCATTTATCCAGTCTTTTGTCTCACCTTCATAAATTAATGTAAAGGTTTCTTTCTGAGTAGTATCATATTTAAACAAAGAGAACTCATTTTCAGCGTAAAATAGTAGCAGCCCCGTTAACTCGCATATATGGATGAAAGCAAAACCGTGTACTTTTTTGTAACGCAATTCCTGCGGCAACCGAATATTGGAATTGCTAGAAAGAAAAAGCGCTTGGTTGCCAATAGCTTTAGCAATCATAAAAGATATATGTTAATAATAATAAAAAGAGCATTACATATTATCAATGCGTACCAGTAAATAATGAGTGTTTAGAAATATTTAATGCTAGGGCATCCGTAAACAATATATTCTTCGCAATCATGGTTAGCTCTTAAGCTGTCGTTTGCATTAATGCAATACTTTAATTACGAAAATGACCCACTAGGCCACAAATAATATTCGTTCTAACATGCGTCAAATTAGCGACGGTGATTTAGCGGAAATTATTTTCGGAAATCGGTTCCGGAGCCAGAATCACTCACTTATAAATGAATTTAATTATGTTTTTAAGCACTGAACCAATTACATATTAATGCTGTTACGAGTCGGTTTGTCAGTCGAGGGGCAGCGCCGGTCAGCCAGTACTCTCATTAGGTAGGGTATACCCGTGTCCGCTGTCACGAACAATCGCACAACAAATACACCAAATCTGCACATCACTAAAAACAGCTCACTCCAAAACGTATGTACATAAAGGCCAGCGGCAAAATTACGCAAAACAAAGGTAACAAAACTACTAAAACTCAATAACAACAAATCAGACATCAATCGGTGGCTTCGCCGTTGTTTCCATGGCACTCCCGCCCATCCTGTCGTGCTAATAATTAATTCACATTTCACCACATTTAATTTCAGATGTAGGACGACACTTATCCGAACGACATGGACATTCTCCTCTCGCGTATAATTCGTTGCAATATATATTATTATAATTATAACTATTAATCTTAATTTTTAATATTTCATTTTTTTACAGAATACACATATACAGGATATATAACAACACAGGAACCGGACAACCGAACACTGCCAGAAGCTGTGGCCGAAAGCCACCAAAACAACACGAATAAATGTGTCAACATGTTTATACCCTGAACCCATTAAATAGCCTCTGTCCACTGAACCCATTTCTTGAAAATGTCACATTTTTGCAAAATGTGTAAAACGCTGCCTGTACGTTTTCCCATAAGAAAACACATTTCAATTTAAATTCGCCGCGAACAGTTCGTAATTTTTGCGATGATTTATCGAGTTTTCTATCGATGTTGTGAATGTGTTCATTACAATAAACAGCTGATATTGCAACGAAGGCAAGCGGTAACTTTAAATTATAATTTTAAATTTTAATAATCCCACAACGTTCAAAGTTGGCCAAATTCCGCAAAGAGTCCATTAAATGGAGCCCCTACTTCAGGGACGTTTTATTTGACTTTTGGAAGGAAATCTGTGCGGCGCTTATGCAAATTAAAGTAACTCGATCAGCTGTTTATTTAAAGAAGCGGTACTTTTGCCACTCACATGTTACAGAAAACCGGTGGAACACCAATGTGTGAAACTTAAAAATGTGACATTTTTAACCCCAGTGGAAAAAGGCTTAAAAATTGGTAAAAAGGGTGTAATGTTTTTTTGCAAAAGTATGTAACAGGCAGAAGAAAGCATCTCCGACCCCATAAAGTATATATATTCTTGATCAGCATCAACAGCCGAGTCGATCTAGCCATGTCCGTCTGTCTGTCCGCCCGTCTGTCTGTCCGTATGTATGAACGCAAGGATCTCAGAACCTATAAGAGTTAGAGACTTGAAATTTTAGCTGTAGGTCCTCTTAGTACAGATCAAGTTTGTTTCCGATATTCGATAACTTGCCCCATTTCCAAGTAATCAATAAAAATCGATATCGAAATCCTGTTTTTAAAGCAATTTTGGTAAATTAAGAGCTAGAGTCACCAAACTTGACATGTAGCTTCTAGAATAGTATATATATATATATATCAAGTATCTTTCATTTTATACCTATCGCCACCTCCCCGCTAACACCACACAGCTATAAATCATATTAGTAAACCAACTTGTTTTGCCTACCTATTTAAGCCACAATTTAAATGCAATTGTCATTTTGAGGATACACGAATATTTTATAGTATGATATAATAAGATCTACTGCTGAATTTCATCAAGATCGGTTAACAAACACAAAAGTTATGTGCGCGCATGTTAGCAGCAACTAGCGCAAATTCCAAGAATTTCTGTATACATGTACACACACACATTCATGCGCGTCTGCTTTGAATTCTATCAACAGAATTGCAATTGCGATTGTATTGTTTTCTGTGCTGCTATTTGAATTAAGAGTTAATTGTTGGTGTGGCTATTGAGTAGAGGCGGCGGAAAGTCGCGCCATCAGTAACGAGGAAACTATTTCTTTTTATTTTTGTCTGGTGTGGCTGCTGCGTAGAGGCGGCAGCAAGTAATGCGGTCAGTTGCGAGTTAGAACCCTGCCAAGGGAACTTTTGTTTTTTAAATTTATTTTTATTACTACTTAAGCAAGCTGCATTTGATGTTGGAAGAAGAGGATTCAGGATATCCCCTAGTCGGGAGCTCGCGACAAGAACCTCTCACTTGTTTTTTTTTGCACCAATGTGGAACAAAGCGCCCACGTAAATAAATATATATATATTCATACGTGCCAAAAAAATTATATATTTGGCAAAAAAAATGTACTACCCCACCCTGCCTAAAAAGCTCTCTGGGATTGGTAAGGGACGATTGAAAAAAAGAAGTTTTCTTGTATATATGTATGTATATACATACGTTTGTACTATTCGTGCACACGTTCAATATTCAAGTTTTTATGCAAGTCGATGTTGCAATAGCTCTTTGGCCGTTTCCTTGCAGTTTATGATTTATTTGACCCTCATAAATTGGTATTCGATTTATTTTTTGTATAAAAGCAAAAAAAACGTCGTGAGAAGCACACCGAATCGGACCACTATCCGGGCTCTGTGGCCTCTGCCTTTGGCCTGGGGCGGGGAAATGATTTTGGAATGGAATCACTCTGCTGGACGATACTCGCTGTCCTCCTCATCTCTCCTGTGGTTGAGTAGACCTGGCCGCGCTTAGGGTCTCCGGTCCGAAAAAAATACCTTGGTGGCCTGGCTGGCGTCCTTCGGCGTGAAGCTCGGTCGCCTGAAATCCTCTTTTTCTGACAGTTTCGAGTTTTTTCTTCTTTTGGCGGCTTAAGTTTGCACACATTTTTTATAACTTTTATTTTTTTTGTTTTTCCGATAAATTAAACAAAGTTAATTTGTGTTTTATGCTTTTCATGCATAAATCACAAAAAAGAAGGGCACGCGTCGGACGCGTGCCAATATTGAAATTTTCTTTTGCGCCAATGATCTGCCCATTCACACATCAGAAATCACAAAAACTTCAAATCTTGTCAATTATGCATCGGACAGGCAAGAGACCAACAGGCACACAAACGCAGAAATGCTTCTATTCTTATACAAAATGTGCAAGTGTGCGTGCATGGCAAGTCCAAAACATTGTAAATGCATACTTGTCAACGCTTACCAACGATACAAGCTAAAAAACAAGAATTTCGCATCGACGTTGCAAACCTTTTGATTACTTCATATAACTCGTCCCTTCAAAAGGGAAAAATGCGCATTGTTTCTTGAGCGGACACATACACACGCATAATTTTAAAAGATCCCTAGATATAATGAGAATGCATTGAGAGCACTGAGAGTAAGCCAAAGCAACATTATGCATTGTAGTTTAACATATCGACCGCGCATTATCAATCATTTTGCTTTTTAAATCAAGAAAATCGTCCAGTTTTTAATGAATTCCCATTTCTCTATTTTTCTATTGGAAAAAAAATAGCTGGCAATATGTTTTGTAACATTTTCATACATTAAAATGGTGGCAATAGATTTTTGTAACGGTGCTTAACAAAAAAATGTGACAATATTTCAAATTGGATTTTTTCATTTTGAATTGAGCAATGGATTTGTTGAGACACCAGGAAAAGGCATAGGATGTTTTTAAACGGCTGATTAAAATGTCTCAACAATCTATAAAGCAGCGCCAGCCCAAAAATATTAACAATGCTACTCTAAAAAATAGGAGCGACTAACAGCAAAAACTAATAAGGGCTCAGGCACAGTAAAATAAACAAAATGGAGGCGCAGCTTCAGCGGCTAACGGATGAGATGT